GCTTTAGGTATGGCATTTGCCTGAAAATCACCTGAAAACTGCAGGAGTGGAGCTTCCTGGAGCAGGGCCCCAGATGTGAGGCTGGGCATCCAGGGCAGCAGTAAAAAGAGGGCATTGCCCCTTATCTCTTGCTGCTATTGTAGGTCACTCTACTCATGAGGAGAGCAGCCCCACAGTAGTGACATTGGCAGGGGGGCGGAGGAGGCCCCCTCCTGCGAGGGGCACACTTGCCACTCCTCACCCCACAGTGCAGGGAGGGCTCAGCCAGGTGCCACCCCTCTTCTGGGGTGTCACGCGGTATGGGCTACACTCCCCACAGCCCCCAAGTGATGCCACTGCCTCCAATTGTCCTGGTTTGCCAGTACCAGTTTTAACCCTCTGTTCTCTCATTTTTTGAGTTGCTGTTCAAATGTCCCAATTTCTCCTCCTCCCTCTACTTTCCCCTTTGCAAACTGATTTCATAATGCAAAAGCCATTTGCACTCGAGTCAACTCAGCAGGGAAGTGAGAGGAAGGTATGGAATCTTTCCCTCCCCTGTAGGCTCAGGCAAAAGAAAATACCTGCAGCCTTTCCTAGCTTGTGTGTTCTTCCCCATTAAGAACGTTGGCCATCTTGACCACTTTGATGTGGCTTGGGCACATATGCATCTGTGAAATGCTGGAGGGTAGACTCTGCGTGTGTACGTGCCTTCAGGTTGCCTGTCAACTTGCCATGATGCCATGAATTTTATAGGGTTTTCTTAGGCAAGGTTTTGTCAGTTCCTTCCTCTGAAATAAATACAGTACCTGGTGTTCATTGGCAGTCTGCCACCTCCTAAATCCCTTAATGCAAATGTACAGGAACTTGTATGGCATAATGCATTAAGAATATAAAAAGAATTCAGTTGAAAGTAAAAGCACACTGTCCAAAAGCAACATGCTTGATGAAATAACTTTGCAGTCAGAACTCAAAACAATATTTCCTGCAAGTAAATATACCAATGTTAAATTAAGGGGCATCTGGTGGTCCCACCATTGTTGGGCAGCAAATCCAGCTTAGATTTCACTGCCCTTCTTTCTTTAGCTTCTCTCAGTTGAATGGGGGCTCTCCTCTTGCTGGACCCTACTTCAGCACCAGCAGGTCTCCCCCCACAACTGAGTAGCTGCAGAAAGGGTTGGAATAAAATCTGGGGTGGACTCGCCACCTTCTGGTGTGGCTGATCCACCAGCCAGCCTGCTTAAATTCCAATTTTAATAAAATCCCATGAATTAGGCATGTCAGTCAAAATATGCACATATACATTTTGAGTGATTTGCAAAATAGGTTTTTGAGCCCCAAACTAGTCATGTGGTTTTCGGTGTATTAAGATCCTTCTGGTGTAGAATCACACTTTCGCTAGTGTGAAATAGCTCTGTTCTATTTTATTCGTTGCCATTCAGCCTGTCTTCATACCTCAGTTTACCCAAATAACCTTGTACATACATCCCCACTACTGGATTTGTTTTATGCCTCCATTTCTCTCCCCCTGCTACCTTTCTCTTGTGATTCTTTCTTTCTCCATTGCCTTTTGCTTCTGTTGCACACTCCACTGGAGAGGCTGATGGGTTATTTTTAGTCTTGATTCAACCACTGCCCCAGGCCTCCTGACCAATCTGCAGCAAAATGCTGCACAGTCAAAATGCATCTAAAAACTCCAGCCGAACCCACCGCATCCCTGGCTGTGTTGTGCAGTTGGGAAGGTGAGAGTGGTTGGTGAAGGGCATTGTATGGTGTTTCTGAAGGCTATGCCTTTGAAAGAAATCAACTAAGATGGGGTCGAATGGGACAACTGAGTGATACCTTTTGGCAGGGAGAGGGAGTGTGGCCTTGTCATGTGGATCCATGTGGGAATCGACATTATTGATGTTCATGGGTTCTGATGCTGTTGCCTTTGTTTTCTTTTTCATCTGCTGGGGAAAGAAAGTGATGGTAGAGGACCTGTTATGCTACTTTGACCCTTCTTGGGTGAAGATGATTAAGGTCTAAAGCTTTTGTTAGCCATAAGAAGAAAAGAAGAACCATGGTGGATCATCCTGAAAGTCCATCTAGCTCAGGAATCCATTTTCCCAGTAGCCAACCATATGCCCAGTAGAAGCACATAAGCAAGACATCACAATAGCAGCCCCCTGCTTTCCTTCCCCAACAACAGAAATGCCAATCATACTGCCTTTGAAAGTGAAGGTAAAGGATATCCATCATAGCTAGTAGCCATTTAGAGGTTGATCCTCTAGTCATTTTTCTAATTCCCCTTTGAAGCCATCTATATGTTGTAGGTAACTTCCAAACACAACCATGTTCAGTGTCAATAATTCCTTCCTTTAGATCAGGCACGCCTTCACAATACACAATGATAGCATTTTGATTCTGCTTTAACCATCATGGCTAAATCCTGCAGAATCCTGGGATTAAGAGTTTAAGGAGGGGTGTTTAGGTTTCTCAGACAGAAAGCTCCAGTGCATAACCATACTACAGATCCCAATACTGCATAGGATGTTGCTATAGTTGTTAAACTGGAATCATGTGGGAAGGATTACAAGGGTGAGAAAAGTGGCCTATGGCCCATAGGCTACATGTGGCCCAACTGGGACTCCCTGAAGCCTCCCAGAGTCCTCAGAGAACAGAAATAATGGTGTGGTGGTGGAAACCAATTTTTTGCCAACCCCCAAAAGGCTTAAAATGCTGCAAAATAAAGTGTCTTGGCCCCACAGTGCCCATGACCTCCACATATATGGGGGTTGGAGAAACACCTGGCAATCTGACAAAAATTGACCAAAAACAAAAGCAGTAGCAATGCCAAGCACAAGTGTTGGGCATGCCAGTGCAGCCTCTGGGAGACAGCCATCTACTGTAGGAAACTCCTGCTTGACAGATGACTACACTTGCTTCAGACTGTTGTACTTTGGTTAGACTTCACCTGAAATATCATGGCCAGTTTTGGGCACCAAGAAGGATATTGAAAAGCTGGGCAAGCAGTCTACGTGTTCAGAAGAAGGCAATCCAGATGATTAAAGGTTGGGCAAAAAGCCTTATGAGGCACAGGTTGGAGAAGAGAAGATGGATAGGGGATATGGTAGCCACATTTAAATATCTAAAGCGATATGTGAAATATATGACAAGTTTGTTTTCTGCTGCTCCAGAGATTTGAATACAACCAGTAATATTCCAGATGCAAGACTACACTTGGCAATGCCATCTTGGTTGTTCTCAACATATTTATTTGCCGTCAACAAACCATAAAGTAGAGTGACATCTACTTAGGTGCCTGGCAGCCAACTCTGGCAGTAGATTTGGGGTATGAAGAAAAATTAGCAACTACAGATTCTTCATTGTGATATTTTCACTGCCAGACAAAGACCGTCTTGTGTGGTTTTCTGCCTCAATGCCAACATACTTTAATTGGCCTTAGATAACACTATGTGCTGTGACTTTTGGGTGAGGGGTTAGCATTTTATTTTCTACTTGAGGCAGCAAAATGTCTTGGAATGGCCTTTTATCTGTCCAGTTGTTCACAACCCCTGTCCTGTGTGTGATTTCTTTGTCAGTTTGTTTAACCAGGAAAAAACAACAACATTAGGTTTTAAAAAGAGGCGGACACATAACAAGGTGGGGAGTAGTCATAGACTATGTATTCCATTTTTTTGTTTTGTTAACTGCCTTCACATCGATCTTGACCCATGGCAACCCTATGGATGAGACATCTACAGGTCCCCTGCCCTCTGTTGCTCTGCCCAGCTCCTGCAAATTCATATTTGTGGTCTCTTTAATAAAGTCCATCCATCTAGCATGTGTCCTTCCTCTCTTTCTACTTCTCTCCATCTTTCCTAAGATTATTGTCTTTTCCAACAATTCATGCCTTCTTATGATGTGTCCAAAGTACGATAGTCTAAGTCTTGTCATCTTGGCTTCTAGGGATACCTCTGGCTTAATGTGATCTAGGACCCATTTGTTTGTCCTTTTGGCTGTCCATGGGATCCTCAGGACTCTTCTCCAGCATCACATTCTCTCAAATGCACTGGTTTTCCTCCTATCTTCTCTCTTAACTGTCCAGCTCTCACATCCATACACGATAATAGGGAATACAATGGCTTGTATGATTCTGACTTTTGTGCTGAGTTGTATGTCTTTGCATTTTACGATCTTTTCTAGTTCTTTCGTAGCCCCCCCTCTTAATATTCTTCTGATTTCCTGGCTGTAATCCCCATTCCAGTCAATGTCCATACCTTCCAACTATTCCAATTTGGCAAGGATAGTCCCAATTAATCCTCTGGCCCAGTTTTCCCGCTTTTAAAATGTCTTCAGCTTACTTAGGGCCTAAGCAGACTGCCAGAAATAGTGCACATTAAATTGAGGCACTGCCCTGGCTCAGTGCTAGGGAATCATGGGAACTGTAATTTATTGTGGCACCAGAGCTCTCTGACAGAGAAGGCTCAATGTCTCAGAAAAAAAATACAGTTCCCATGATTCCCTAGCACTGAGCCAGGGCAGTGCCTCAATTTAATGTGCACTATTTCTGGCAGTCTGCTTAGGCCTAGTTGCTGCACACAGAATTCAAAATGCTAAAGTGTAATTTGTATTGATTTAACTCAGTGAGGGAAGAGGACAGGAGGGGACAGAATCATGTGCTTCCCTGTAGACTCAGGCAAAAGCACACTGCTGCAGTCCCTCCTAGCTTGTCTTTTCTTCTTCCTTAACAATTCTTGCCATCTTGACCACACTCGAATTATGCTCCACCACATATGTCCCAGTAAGTAGAGAGATCTTGTAGCACCTTTGAGACTAACTGAAAGAAATTGGCAGCATGAGCTTTCATAGACTTCAGTCTACTTCCAAATTTCATGCTGCCAATTTCTTTCTTTCAGTTAATCTCAAAGGTGCTACAAGATCTCTCTACATACTGCTTCTACAGACAGACTAACACGGCTATATCTTTGAATTCAACCACATGTGCCCTAGTTTTGATCTTTGAAATATTGGAGGGGAGAGCCAGTGTGGTGAAATGGTTGGAGTGCTGGACTATGACTCTGGAGACCAGGGTTTGATTCCCAGCTCAGCCCTGAAACTCACTGGGTGACCATGGACAAATCACACTCTCTCAGCCTCGGGGAAGGCAATGGCAAACCTC